CGACGGCGAACGCGCGCGAGACGCAAGACTGCGAATGCAACTCGACAGGGGGTGCGTTCTCGGCCAAAGTGCGCCCATCATTCCTGTTACTCCTCCTCGTGCCCTCCTCCGCCTGATGCGCTTCATCACCTGTCACCGCCTCTTCCTCCTAATCCTCCTCATCTTGTCGAACGCACTACATGTCCTGTGCCCCGAGCTCGCGTTCCTGTTCTTGTAGCATATCTGCCATTGCATGATCTCCCTCTTCCTGGTGCCTCTGCCGTTCGATTGCTCTCTCCGCTTCGAACTGGCCTACCACGATGCGTTGGTACTCGGCGTTGCGAACCTCATCGTTTGAACCCGATGCGCCAGAAAGTTCGACCTCCATCGCGGCGCCCTGCAGCGGAGGGCAACGATGTGATTTCATTGTGGGGCGATCGAGGCTGGAACACTTGGCGAGGGAGACGATCTGAGAAAACCAAATGAGAATGGCTATGAAGGGGTTCGCTAGAACGCAAAGTGTCCTGGGCTCTCTCGTAGACCTGCTTCCTACGCAGAAACGTTATGATGTCTACAAACTTGATGGCCTCTAGCCTGTCCTTGGGCATAGTGGCTACGGTTCCTGAAGTGGGCAAGCGGCGCAATTGGTCGACTGGCAGAGCTTCCAGATCACGTCGTAAAGCGCGATGGGGGATCCGAAAGATGGCGCACTGATGCGGGACAAACCGAACGACACACATGTATAAAGACACACGTATGTGAAAACATGGTCAGTGACGCGCGTGCGTTACCATTGTCACGACATGTCTGAGGTTCACTGGTTCACCCGCGGCATGTTGATATGTTCAATTAGGTTGCTCTTCGTTCGTATTTCGAACACAGCTGCGCATGTGGGGTCTATCGGGGGTGCAACTATGTTTTCTCCAGGACCCAGGGCCCAGAGGTATCCCGCAGACGCCGATCCAGCTAACACCTCACACGGTTGTGTTGTTTTTGTTTGCACGACGCGCGCGGCGAATTGCAGCACTGTCCAGCACAGCATCGTTGCCAACGCGCGTGCTCATCACGCGCCGTGGCTGCATAACGAGAGCGGCCACGCTAACTGTTCCGCCGGCCTCACGACGAAACACGTCTCAGACAAACCTAACGCGCAGCAGATGCATGCAACAATGACGCTGACCGCGGCATAGCAAAGACGCTGAGCTCGCCGACGTAGTTGCACGCAGAATATACTTCAAGGCGCCTTGTCGAACCAATATTGCGATTGTAAAGCGTGGGAACGCAACTAGTGAGACGACAAAATTGACATCAGTGAACATGGCATCCAAATCGACACATTACGCGCACGGGTTGGCAACGTGGGAAATGCGGAGAGGGGGGATGTTGAAGGCTGTGGCAAAGCAACACAGAGTAAGCTACAGGTGCGCCTCGCTCACACTACGCACTTGCCGAACTCATCGATGACGTCATCGCTGGGAGTCTGTTGGAGGTCTGAACTTCTTTCTAGGGGGGCTGGTGTCGGCCTTTGGCTTCTTTGCTTTCTCCTCTGCCTCTGCTTTCTCCTCTGCCTCTGCTTTCTCCTCTGCCTCTGCTTTCTCCTCTGCCTCTGCTTTCTGATCTGCCTCTGCTTTCTCTTCGTCCTTTGATCCATCCCCATCTGCTTCAGAATGCTCAACCTCTGCCGGCCCTTCAGCGCCTGCGTTCTCCTCATCGGCCTTCTCCTTCTCATGCTTCTTCCTGTTCGCGGCCTTCAAGAGCTGCTTCTTCAATATTGCTTGTTTGTCAGTTGTTGCTTGGTGTGGCTCCGTCTTCCTCGTCTTTTTCTTCTCCTTCCTCTTTTGGTTATGCTCGTTCTCGCTTTCTTCTTTGCTCTCCTGAACGACGGCTGCGCATTTCGCTTTCTTTTTTGCCTTTGCTCCTGCGCTGGCTCTTGAACTCTTCCTAGGCGCCTTGCTATTCACATCTGGTCCGTGCTCGCACTCATCCTGGATCTTCTCTTCCTCCCCCTCCTCCTCCTCCTCCTCCTCCTCCTCTGCCTCATCCTCGCGCTCTTTTCCATCCTCCTCGCTGCCATCGCCTGCCTCCTGCTCAGCGTCCTCAGCCTCGTCATCCTTCTGCGCATCCTTCGGGCCTGCTTTCTTTCGCTTCATCGGTGCCGCCACCGTCTTCGCTTTGGCTGATGCTGGCCTTTTAAGCACTGCTCCAGAGTGTGCTCGCGTGAACTCCTGCTTGTCGACTTCTATGGCGTCCTTCGTCTTAGTGTGGCTTGCAAAGGCTTTGGCGCATTTGACGATGAACTTGTCTGCCTCCTCTCCGTGCCCTTTCTTGCAGACCAACTGCAGCCGCATTGCTTTCGAACCTTCTTTTGGATGCTCGAACACTGCCAGATGCTTAACCCTCTCATCTTTGATCGTGCGGTGGAACGTCTCTACAACCCAGCGGCTTTCGTTCTCGTCGCATCCACTCCAGAGGGCCTCCTTTGACTTTTTCTCCTGCAGCATCGCCTTCCAAACAGCGTGCGTGAGCCCAGCGATCTTCCATGTGTGACCATCCTCCCATACTGCCTCGAGCTCCTCGTGATCTGCTGCTCCTGGTCGTGCTGCTGGCGTCTTCGAATAATCAGGTGGCCCTTTCTTCCTGACATTGTATCTCGCGACCGCCTGCCCACCATCATGAATTCACACAAAAACGAATGCAGCGCACAAGAGAGCATTTCAAGAGGAGCGAGGTGGGGGACACGGCCCCAGAGCAAATGCGGCCTCTAAACGAGGGCAACGGCAAGGAGGTACGAAGAAGTCGGGATGTGGAAATCGCATGATACCACACCTCCGTTCACGTCATCGCTACAATCCTCCGCTTCCTAGCACGCCTCGCCCCCCCTCGATCACCATTCATGCATCTAGAAGCACACCCCGCCCCCCCGACCATCATGGTTCTGTTGAACTCGTACTTATAGATGCCATCCTGGCGCTGGCTACACGATGCACTCCTCACCTTCCTCCTCCCACCCTCTACTCTTCATGCCCTCCTCTCCTCAATCCGAAGCTATCGATCCTGAGCCCAAGTCGGCCCCTCGAACCGTGACGTTACGAGATCGCGACCCTTCCCCCACCACCTCCATGCGACGAGAATGGCGCCAGTCTCGCACGACTCATCCCTCCCATGCGTTCCTTCCCTATCGCCCATCATCCATATTATATCGTCACTCCTGCCACCCGCACCCACGTGGGAGATCATTACAGGGCCGTCCGGATAAACTCCGAATAAACTCCAAATAAACTCAGAATAAACTCATAATAAACGCAGGAATCACGAAGGAAACATGCAGAATGCAAAAGGCAATCCCTAAACCGCTTTCGAAACAGATTTACGAAGCAGACCGAGCCCATCCCCCCATCATCCTTGTCGTGAAGCTCGAGGTCCAGGTGCCAAAAGGTCTGCAACCGCACTGGGATCTTCTGCTGGCTCCTTCGGGGAAGGCATTAGAGAGACTCTGGAAGAATTCACCAGGGGTGCCCAATGCGATTAACATCATCGCGCGGATCAACGGTTGCACGATGACCTTCACCGCGTTCGATGCCCCGTTCCACAACATAAGTTGGGAAACGGGGCATCGAACGTGGCTTCATTCCTTCCCTCGAATCCTGCATTTGATGAAAGCTTGTGCGACGTGCCTCAGCATCGATCGGATCCGCCTGCGCCGATATAGGCATATCGGCGGCAGCGGGGGACGATCGGCGGCATTTTCTTTCGTGTCGTTGCAATTCCGAAACCAATGCAGCAATCTGACAAACGGCGGATATAACGCGCAAGCGTCATTGATCATTTTAGAATGTTGCATCGCCCACGACTCCACCTGAGAGTCGAGCTTCCATTTCTGTTCTTTGGACTTTGCAAACTCCTCGAGATAACGTGCTAGTTGTTTCCGAGGTATGTTCTCTGCGGGGGCGATGGTTCTGCGAATGTCGTTGATCAAATCAGCCCATTGTGTCAAAGTTTCCAGATCCATAGCTGCCTGGAGAACAATCGTTTGATTTCAAGCCTTCCTCCCAATTCCGCACATCCCGCCCTACCGCCCCCCAAGATCTTTCTTCCTAATCCTCCACATCCCGCCCTACCATTGCTCTTCCTTCAAGCGCGAAACAACATGAAAAACGGCAGTCCCCGAGATCTTCTGTGTACTGCATATCGTCGGGGCTCTGCGCATGCTGTCTCAACATGTTAGATATCTTCTCGTCGATGGTGTCGCTGGGCCTGCGCTTCGGCGTCATTGCGCCCCCCGCGCCCCTGCGCGGCCTGCCTCGCCCCTGCGAGCGAGGCTCGAGGTCAAAACAGCAAGGACAGCACGAATCATGCGAAAGATGATGGTGGCGATGACGCGCATGTCACGATGAGGCTGTAGAAAGAGGAAGGGGGATACGTTTTTTAAAATGTACGTGACATAGCGTCGTTAAATGCTAATGTGCTATGTTTGTATGACAACACCACACACCATAGATCGCGATCTACAGTGTAGATCGCGATCAATTTAGTAGATCGCGATCTATAAACTAGATCGCCCTAACCTCTGGGTAGCTCTTCTGGTGGCCGGCGTTGCTCTGCTCGTGGCCGTCGTGGCTCTGCTCGTGGTCCGCGCGCGCTGCTCTGCTCGTGGTCCCCGTAGCTCTGCCGGCGGCCGTCGCAGCTTGGCCGGCGGCCGTCGCAGCGCTGCCGGTAGTCCGGGGCGGGCAGCGCCAGGGGGGGCGCGAGGCTGGATTGCCCAATGTCGTGCTGAGTGGTGCCGTAATCCTCGCTGTCGTCGTAACAGCGAGCATCGGGAACGATGACTGGCACGAAATCCACTGTCTTCTTCCTCCGCCTCTTCCTGGTCATCGCTGGATGGCGCATCGCTCGAACTGGCATTGCCCTCATCGTCTGCATCGGGAAGAGCCTTGCTCCTTTTCTTGTCTTTGATGGCACCGCCACCGCGGTCGGCGTCGTCGTCGCCTCCTGGCCTGCGCGTGCTCCATGATTCTAATTCTCTATGCTTCCTTGAACGTCTCAGACATGTGATGCGTGAAATACAGGAATTTGATGCTTTCGGTCATATCGTCCCATTTTACCCACATCCCTCCAAGTATGATCGCGTTCGTGCAATATTTGAACGCCAGCTGCATCCCGTGGAGCCCCCCTCCTTCCTTCTTCGCGATCCTGCCGATGCTGCAGTACTCACCGTCCTTCATCTGCGCCTTTGTGAGCGTCGTCGAATGGGTCCTGGTCCACTTGCACTTCCAGTCCCTGTGCATCCGCTTGGCCCACCTCGCTCTGAACTTCTGGGAGTCATGGTAGCCATGGCACTTGGCGTACTTGCGCCGAAGTTTCTCGCTTGCCTTCAAAGCACGCTGCCAGCGGCTTCCTGCAGGGTTCCCAGCCCCCGTGGATGTGTTGAAATAATAGTTGTTTTTTTTCTGCAGTTCCTCCCACAACTCCTTGTCGCGCTGCGCGTCCTCTGGCAGCTCGTCCTCAGCCTCGATCTCCTTTGCCTCATCTGGTGATGTCTTTCGTAGCTCGTGCAACCTTCCCACCAGCCCGCCGTTGAAGAACTGCGTCAATACCTGGTCCATCCTCTCACAGGACGGGTCCTCCCCGCTGCGCATGATGTTGCGGTTGGACAGCTCAGCGATTTCAGCCTTCAGTTCCTCGAGCAGCTTCTGCCTGCCTTGAACGAACTCTTGATCAGGGACTGGTCGCACGTCGATCCCATTTTGTTTGAAGAACGTAGACTGGTTCCCGTCTCTCGGCCACAGAGATGGCCCGTCACCTCCGAGCATCTGCTTGGCGTACTCGGGTTCAGACGGTATATCGTGGTCCTGGAAGTGACGCAACAACCATCTCCCTCCCTCCATCCCTCCATCCCTCCCTCCCTCATTCCCTCCATCCTCTCCCTCTTGCTGCTGCTGCTGCTGCTCTTCATCCGCCTCTTCAGAGGGGGTGATGGGCGAGGAATGGTTTGTGGGGCGTCGACGACGGTCCTTCACGGACGTTCCAGCTGCCGTCGTCGAGGGAGTGTTCGGCGTGATTGTGCCACCGACAAGATCCTATAGGAGTTGCGCGATTGTAAAAGCAGTGCCACATAAGAAAATGATGAGGTTGTCAAGACGGACGGAGGTCGAGAAGATCGGAGGGGAGGGGATGGCGACGTTTCTAGCGGGGGGGGGGGAGGACGCACTAGCGGGGGGAAAGACAGCGAGAGAGAGGACGAGAGAACGACCGATAAACCAATGCAATCCTTGTCGAGCTTGCTGCCCGTCGGCGCGCCGTCCTTGCTGGCCTTGTCGGCCTCGGCGTCCGCCTCGGCAGTTGTGTTCTCGATCTGGTTGATCCCCTCTGTGCCATCAATCTCCTCAAGCTTTCGGCCCTCGCCCTTCTCTGCTACATCCTCGGGCGTTGCTGCCGCCTCAGCGCCAGCGTCTCCTCTCCTCTGGTGTCGCTTCTTTTTCTTCGGTGGCCCATCCTCTGCAGCGTCTCCTGTTGGCGGGGCCTCGCCTTTACCTTTGGCCGCGCGCCTAGTCTTCTTCGTCTTCCTCTTCTTCCTCTTCTTAGTTCCGCCCTCCTCTGCCGCCAGCTTCGAATCCTCGGGCGTCTCATCAACTCTGGTTCCTTCACCCTCCACGTCCTGATCACGGGTGTTCTCTTCAACGTGGTCTCCTGTCTTCTCGAATGGCTCAGCTCCCTCACCCTCTGCTGCGCCTTCTCCCTGGACCTGTTCCTTCTTCTCTTCCTTGGCTGCGTCGTCCTCATCTTTCGTTGCCGTCTTTCCATCCTCGCTGCTTATGTCCTCTGGCTGTGTTGGCTTTGCCTTGTCGCCATCATCCCTCCTCGTCGCATCAGTCTCTGTCTTTCCTGACTTTGCCTCCTCGTCTCCTGACGTTGCCTCCTCGCCATCATCTCCAGCACCATCGTTGGGGGGCGAGTCCCCCACCTCGATGGCGCAGTCCTTGCGGCGCGATGCACGCTGACGGCGAACGCGCGCGAGACGCAAGACTGCGAATGCAACTCGACAGGGGGTGCGTTCTCGGCCAAAGTGCGCCCATCATTCCTGTTACTCCTCCTCGTGCCCTCCTCCGCCTGATGCGCTTCATCGCCTGTCACCGCCTCTTCCTCCTAATCCTCCTCATCTTGTCGAACGCACTACATGTCCTGTGCCCCGAGCTCGCGTTCCTGTTCTTGTAGCATATCTGCCATTGCATGATCTCCCTCTTCCTGGTGCCTCTGCCGTTCGATTGCTCTCTCCGCTTCGAACTGGCCTACTACGATGCGTTGGCACTCGGCGTTGCGAACCTCATCGTTTGAACCCGATGCGCCAGAAAGTTCGACCTCCATCGCGGCGTCCTGCAGCGGAGGGCAACGATGTGATTTCATTGTGGGGCGATCGAGGCTGGAACACTTGGCGAGGGAGACGATCTGAGAAAACCAAATGAGAATGGCTATGAAGGGGTTCGCCAGAACGCAAAGTGTCCTGGGCTCTCTCGTAGACCTGCTTCCTACGCAGAAGCGTTATGATGTCTACAAACTTGATGGCCTCTAGTCTGTCCTTGGGCATAGTGGCTACGGTTCCTGAAGTGGGCAAGCGGCGCAATTGGTCGACTGGCAGAGCTTCCAGATCACGTCGTAAAGCGCGATGGGGGATCCGAAAGATGGCGCACTGATGCGGGACAAACCGAACGACACACATGTATAAAGACACACGTATGTGATAACATGGTCAGTGACGCGCGCGCGTTACCATTGTCACGACATGTCTGAGGTTCACTGGTTCACCCACGGCATGTTGATATGTTCAATTAGGTTGCTCTTCGTTCGTATTTCGAACACAGCTGCGCATGTGGGGTCTATCGGGGGTGCAACTATGTTTTCTCCAGGACCCAGGGCCCCGAGGTAACCCACAGACGCCGATCCAGCTAACACCTCACACGGTTGTGTTGTTTTTTTTGCACGACGCGCGCGGCGAATTGCAGCACTGTCCAGTACAGCATCGTTGCCAACGCGCGTGCTCATCACGCGCCGTGGCTGCATAACGAGAGCGGCCACGCTAACTGTTCCGCCGGCCTCACGACGAAACGCGTCTCAGACAAACCTAACACGCAGCAGATGCATGCAACAATGACGCTGACCGCGGCATAGCAAAGACGCTGAGCTCGCCGACGTAGTTGCACGCAGAATATACTTCAAGGCGCCTTGTCGAACCAATATTGCGATTGTAAAGCGTGGGAACGCAACTAGTGAGACGACAACGTTGACATCAGTGAACATGGCATCCAAATCGACACATTACGCGCACGGGTTGGCAACGTGGGAAATGCGGAGAGGGGGGATGTTGAAGGCTGTGGCAAAGCAACACAGAGTAAGCTACAGGTGCGCCTCGCTCACACCATGCACTTGCCGAACTCATCGATGACGTCATCGCTGGAGTCTGTTGGAGGTCTGAACTTCTTTCTAGGGGGGCTGGTGTCGGCCTTTGGCTTCTTTGCTTTCTCCTCTGCCTCTGCTTTCTCCTCTGCCTCTGCTTTCTCCTCTGCCTCTGCTTTCTCCTCTGCCTCTGCTTTCTCCTCTGCCTCTGCTTTCTCATCTGCCTCTGCTTTCTCTTCGTCCTTTGATCCATCCCCATCTGCTTCAGAATGCTCAACCTCTGCCGGCCCTTCAGCGCCTGCGTTCTCCTCATCGGCCTTCTCCTTCTCATGCTTCTTCCTGTTCGCGGCCTTCAAGAGCTGCTTATTCAATATTGCTTGTTTGTCAGTTGTTGCTTGGTGTGGCTCCGTCTTCCTCGTCTTTTTCTTCTCCTTCCTCTTTTGGTTATGCTCGTTCTCGCTTTCTTCTTTGCTCTCCTGAACGACGGCTGCGCATTTCGCTTTCTTTTTTGCCTTTGCTCCTGCGCTGGCTTTTGAACTCTTCTTAGGCGCCTTGCTATTCACATCTGGTCCGTGCTCGCACTCATCCTGGATCTTCTCTTCCTCCCCCTCCTCCTCCTCCTCCTCCTCTGCCTCATCCTCGCGCTCTTTTCCATCCTCCTCGCTGCCATCGCCTGCCTCCTGCTCAGCGTCCTCAGCCTCGTCATCCTTCTGCGCATCCTTCGGGCCTGCTTTCTTTCGCTTCATCGGTGCCGCCACCGTCTTCGCTTTGGCTGATGCTGGCCTTTTAAGCACTGCTCCAGAGTGTGCTCGTATGAACTCCTGCTTGTCGACTTCTATTGTCTGCCTCCTCTCCGTGCCCTTTCTTGCAGACCAACTGCAGCCGCATTGCTTCCGAACCTTCTTTTGGATGCTCGAACACTGCCAGATGCTTAACCCTCTCATCTGTGATCGCGCGGTGGAACGTCTCTACAACCCAGCGGCTTTCGTTCTCGTCGCATCCACTCCAGAGGGCCCCCTTTGACTTTTTATCCTGCAGCATCGCCTTCCAAACAGCGTGCGTGAGCCCAGCGATCTTCCATGTGTGACCATCCTCCCATACTGCCTCGAGCTCCTCGTGATATGCTGCCCCTGGTCGTGCTGCTGGCGCCTTCGAATAATCAGGTGGCCCTTTCTTCCTGACATTGCATCTCGCGGCCGCCTGCCCACCATCATGAATTCACACAAAAACGAATGCAGCGCACAAGAGAGCATTTCAAGAGGAGCGAGGTGGGGGACACGGCCCCAGAGCAGATGCGGCCTCTAAACGAGGGCAACGGCAAGGAGGTACGAAGAAGTCGGGATGTGGAAATCGCATGATACCACACCTCCGTTCACGTCATCGCTACAATCCTCCGCTTCCTAGCACGCCTCGCCCCCCCTCGATCACCATTCATGCATCTAGAAGCACACCCCGCCCCCCCGACCATCATGGTTCTGTTGAACTCGTACTTATAGATGCCATCCTGGCGCTGGCTACACGATACACTCCTCACCTTCCTCCTCCCACCCTCTACTCTTCATGCCCTCCTCTCCTCAATCCGAAGCTATCGATCCTGAGCCCAAGTCGGCCCCTCGAACCGTGACGCTACGAGATCGCGACCCTTCCCCCACCACCTCCATGCGACGAGAATGGCGCCAGTCTCGCACGACTCATCCCTCCCATGCGTTCCTTCCCTATCGCCCATCATCCATATTATATCGTCACTCCTGCCACCCGCGCCCACGTGGGAGATCATTACAGGGCCGTCCGGATAAACTCCGAATAAACTCCAAATAAACTCAGAATAAACTCATAATAAACGCAGGAATCACGAAGGAAACATGCAGAATGCAAAAGGCAATCCCTAAACCGCTTTCGAAACAGATTTACGAAGCAGACCGAGCCCATCCCCCCATCATCCTTGTCGTGAAGCTCGAGGTCCAGGTGCCAAAAGGTCTGCAACCGCACTGGGATCTTCTGCTGGCTCCTTCGGGGAAGGCATTAGAGAGACTCTGGAAGAATTCACCAGGGGTGCCCAATGCGATTAACATCATCGTGCGGATCAACGGTTGCACGATGACCTTCACCGCGTTCGATGCCCCGTTCCCCAACATAAGTTGGGAAACGGGGCATCGAACGTGGCTTCATTCCTTCCCTCGAATCCTGCATTTGATGAAAGCTTGTGCGACGTGCCTCAGCATCGATCGGATCCGCCTGCGCCGATATAGGCATATCGGCGGCAGCGGGGGACGATCGACGGCATTTTCTTTCGTGTCGTTGCAATTCCGAAACCAATGCAGCAATCTGACAAACGGCGGATATAACGCGCAAGCGTCATTGATCATTTTAGAATGTTGCATCGCCCACGACTTCACCTGAGAGTCGAGCTTCCATTTCTGTTCTTTGGACTTTGCAAACTCCTCGAGATAGCGTGCTAGTTGTTTCCGAGGTATGTTCTCTGCGGGGGCGATGGTTCTGCGAATGTCGTTGATCAAATCAGCCCATTGTGTCAAAGTTTCCAGATCCATAGCTGCCTGGAGAACAATCGTTTGATTTCAAGCCTTCCTCCCAATTCCGCACATCCCGCCCTACCGCCCCCCAAGATCTTTCTTCCTAATCCTCCACATCCCGCCCTACCATTGCTCTTCCTTCAAGCGCGAAACAACATGAAAAACGGCAGTCCCCGAGATCTTCTGTGTACTGCATATCGTCGGGGCTCTGCACATTCTGTCTCAATATGTTAGATATCTTCTCGTCGATGGTGTCGCTGGGCCTGCGCTTCGGCGTCATTGCGCCCCCCGCGCTCCTGCGCGGCCTGCCTCGCCCCTGCGAGCGAGGCTCGAGGTCAAAACAACAAGGACAGCACGAATCATGCGAAAGATGATGGTGGCGATGATGCGCATGTCACGATGAGGCTGTAGAAAGAGGAAGGGGGATACGTTTTTTAAATGTACGTGACATAGCGTCGTTAAATGCTAATGTGCTATGTTTGTATGACAACACCACACACCATAGATCGCGATCTACAGTGTAGATCGCGATCAATTTAGTAGATCGCGATCTATAAACTAGATCGCCCTAACCTCTGGGTAGCTCTTCTGGTGGCCGGCGTTGCTCTGCTCGTGGCCGTCGTGGCTCTGCTCGTGGTCCGCGCGCGCTGCTCTGCTCGTGGTCCCCGTAGCTCTGCCGGTGGCCGTCGTAGCTTGGCTGGTGGCCGTCGCAGCGCTGCCGGTAGTCCGGGGCGGGCAGCGCCAGGGGGAGCGCGAGGCTGGATTGCCCAATGTCGTGCTGAGTGGTGCCGTAATCCTCGCTGTCGTCGTAACAGCGAGCATCGGGAACGATGACTGGCACGAAATCCACGCAGTACTCGTTGAACTTGAACTTGCTGCTGGCGGCCACACCGCTCGTACTCCAACGTTGTCTTATGAAGATGGCCAGGTCCGCTGTGGAGTTGCCCTTGCGGGCCGCGTAGGCCAACCTGCGGTAGGCAGCTGCCTCAAGATTGCGGTATCCGTGATCTCGAAGAACATGGGGGAGTCTCGGATGGAACTGGTAATCTCGTAGTTGATTAATTTTGTTGCCGTACCTGGGTAGCAACAGGCCCTCCAGGGCCTGACCAAACCTTGAAGATGCACCCGCGACTAACGGTGTCCAAGTGTTTCTTGCAAAGTCCGGTAAGGATGACCAAGTACAATAAAGATTTGAAGATCATAGTGTTGTAGGCCAGGCGCATCGAGTTCGGAGTGAAGAAGTATAAGAACCTGTACCTCTTCCTCGCGGGCGTATGGCGCCGCGCTGAGCGGTGCCCGGCCAGGGCGGTGGGGGCGCGTCCTTCCTCGGTGCCTCGGCCAAACTCCTCCTCCTCCTCCTCCTCCTCCTCCTCCTCCTTCTCCTCTCTCTTTTTTCCAGTCTTCTCCTCCTCCTCCTCCTCCTCCTCCACCTGCCCCTCCTCCTCCTGACTCTCCCCGCCTCCATCGCGGCGCCCTCCTCCTCCTGACTCTTCCCGCCTTCCTCTCCTCCTGCGCCTGCTCCTGCTCCTGCTCTTCCTCCTCCTCCTCCTCCTCCTCCTCCTCCTCCTCCTCCTCGTCCTCCTCCTCCTCCTCCTCCTCCATCTCCTCCTCCTCCTCCATCTCCTCCTCCTCCTCCTCCTCCTCGTCCTCATACCTGTCCTCCTTCTTTTCCACCTCCCTGTCCTCCTCCTCCCTGTCTTCCGTCTCCCGCCCCCCTCCTCCTCCGCCTACCCCGCCCCCTCCTGCCGCCACTCATCCGTCCTTGTGACCGCCGCCCGTCACCCTCCTCTCCCCTCCGCCCTCGCACTCTCCCACTCCAGACGCGAGGAAAAAACAGGGTGCGGCTCCAGGCAGCGAAGTGCCGAGCGCCACGATGGTGATGGCCGTGATCGCGTCGGGCAAGCCCAGGCAGCACCTCGCCAGCATCCCGTCCAGAAGGAGAGAGAGCGCGGCACTGGCACTCCCCGCCTCGGAGAGCGTCTGGGCTCCCACCGCTGGAACCACGGCGAAGCAGCGATCAGAGGCGAGTCCCCCGAAGGCTCCTGAGCTAAGCGCAAGGCAACGGGGCTCGAGCATCCGAGACCAGCAACATGCGCTGCACTCCGGTAGAAGGAGACAATTAGTGGACACTCCCCCGCTCCCCCGAACTCAAAGTTGGCACGCGCGGGGAAGACTGAGAGCAGCTCGTTGAACCCACCGCCAACACTGACCACTGAGGGGGGGCATTGGCAGATGAATGCGGCGTGAAAGTTCGCTGATCTATTCCGAGGCCTGTCTGTCCGAATACGCGCTGGACAGGGCGAGGAGAGCGGCAGAGAAAGAAGAGCGGCTCGGACCAAGATCGAGCCCTGAACGTGCCCTCGCTCGGATGTCCACTCCTCTTGCACTTGCTTGGTTTCGCGCGCGTCTTCCTTCCCCAGGGTGGCCCAGGCCCAGGACGGTCCTGCGGTGCTCTGGCGCTGGCCTTAGGTCGGGCCTGTCCCCCTACAGGGGGGATTGTGGGCGAAAAATTAGGAACACTCAAAACGTATTCCAAACATGCTCCAAAATTCTTCAAACATCGTCCCCAGTCCAATTTTCCGATGTGTCCTCCTGTAGGGAGGACAGGCCCGACTGAAGTCCAGGACGGCCCTGCGGTGCTCTGGCGTTAGGTCGGGCATGTCCCCCTACAGGCGGAGCTTGGATGACAAACAACAGCTACTCCGAAAATGCGCACGAATAGTCATACATATATATATATATATATACATATATATATATATATATATATATAGAATCGCCCCCCCCAGACTATGTTTTGACTATTTGGGAATTCTCCCTCCTGTGGAGGGACACGCCCGACTCTACCTCTGGCGCTGGCTTCGCCGAGCCCCACGCGCCCGCGCCCGAGCGATGCCGAGCGCGGGGGCCGCGCCCTGCCGCGACCCCGGGCCTCCCACCGGCACCGGGGCCCCGCCCTCCTCGCCCGAGAGCCGCTCTCCGACGGCACCCTCCCGGGGGCCCGGCGAGGGCCCCGAGGGACGCCCCGAGCGGCGAGGAGCCCCAGGTGCTGCTAATTAGAAGTGCCCCCTGGCCCAGGGTGCCCCCAGCTCCTCGCTCCACTCTGGAGCCCCAGCTTTTCGCTCCATTTTGGAGCCCCAGCTCTTCGCTCCACCCACAGGCCCCGCCCCCCTCGCCCCGAGCCGCTCTCCAACAGCACCCCAGGGGCCCGGCGAGGCCCCGAGGGACGCCCCGAGCGGCGAATTAGCCATTGTATACAGGGGAATTTTGAGCGAAGATTTAGAAATAGCCAGAAAATGCGCCAAAAATCTTCAAACATACCACAAAACATCGCCCCCGGAGCAATTTTCGGCTCTTGTTGAATCTTCCACCTGTAGAGGGACAGGCCCGACGTGACCCTCGCCCCGAGCCGCTCTCCGACAGCACCCCCTGGGGCCCGGCGAGGGCCCCGAGGGACGCCCCGAGCGGCGATGAGCCCCAGGGAGAGCCGGGTGTTGCCAGAAGTGCCCCTGGCCCAAGGTGCCCCCCAGCCTTTCGCTCCACTTTGGAGCCCCTGGGGCCCCCTGGGCCTCGCGAGGGGTGCCCTGGAGGCCGTGCCCCGAGCATCCTGGGGGTACCTTGGGCCAGGGGCACTTCTACTACCCTCGTCAAAATTAACCTCACCAGTTGCTGGCACGTCATTTCGATTTCGGCGCGCCCCTCAATGTCGGCACGCCGCCCCTTCAATGTCGGGGCGAGGGCAAAGATAGCCTGACCGAAGTTGACTCGAAAGTGTGACGTCGACCGACATTGGAGGGGCGGCGCACGCAAGCACCCCGCACTCATCGATACTCGGCCCCAGATCTCCCGACAAGCAGCCCAACCACGCCAGACATTCTTGAGGTTACTTTTGACGAGGGCTGTAGAAGTGCCCCTGGCCCAAGGTGCCCCCCGCTTTTTCGCTCCACTTTGGAGCCCCTGGGGCCCCCTTGGGCCTCGCGAGGGGTGCCCTGGATAGGGGGCAAACAAACCTACCTCGCTTTTGACCACCCTCGCTTCCAAGAGATACCAAGCGATGCCAAACTACGGCCTGTACTGGTCAGGCCGCTTGACGAGGAGGCGCGTGGTATGACTTGGTTTTGTCTGGAAGCGAAAGCGGGGTAGGTAATTCATGCTCTGACTGGAGGCCGCCCCCCGAGAATCCTGGGGGCACCTTGGGCTGGGGGCACTTCTAGCAGCACCCGCGGAGCGGCGACGAGCCCCATGGAGAGAGGCAGGGGGGGCGGCCGCACGCAAAAGCTCACGGGAAGGAGGCGCGGCAGGACGAAGCACAGAGACGAGGAGAAGTAAAAATTCGAGCGCGGAGAGCTCGACGCCTCCGAGAGATCCGGACTGCGGAGAAGGCGGAGAATGGCTGAGTGCGGAGAGTGCGGAGAATGCAGATCTTCGACAATTGCATTCGAGTGCGGAGAATCGGCTCTGGAGGATGGATCGGGCGCCGCGGCCTGCTCAGAGCGTTCCGGAAGGCTCTGAGAGCGTCCCGGAGCACTCTGGAATGTACCTATCCTCGTCCCAGCCCCGTCCGGAATGGGGAGGGGCAAGGAGAGAAAGGCGCTGTAGGCACGGGTGCGGGTTGCCGGACCCCGAGCCAATGCAGCGGTGATAGACATTGACCAGCTTCCCCACTGAGGCAGAAGGAGGCTCCACCAAGCGATGCACGCGCCATGGAGGAGGGAACACACGGCGAACGAGGGGACCACAACCTCGGGACCCGCGTGCTCCCCTGCAGGACCTGTCTGCCTCATGGCGACCCTCTCGCCAGACCCGCCTGGCTTTCGGGTCGGGAGCCTCCGGCGTCCGCTCGGGAAGGCTCGGGCACCCCCGGAGCGCCCGGCGGGGCGCAAGAGCCGGAGAGCGTGCCGAGGCTCCGACGAGCACGGCCGAACACCTAAGACTTGGAACCTCGAACTTCGAACTCCGAATCATAGGGGGAAAACAAACCTACCTCGCTTTTGACCACCCTCGCTTCCAAGAGATACCAAGCGATGCCAAACTACGGCCTGTACTGCTCAGGTCGCTTGACGAGGAGGCGCGTGGTATGACTTGGTTTTTCCTGGAAGCGAAAGCGGGTTAGGTAATTCACGCTCTGAAATCATGCAGACTATTCGCCCCGGCCCCCTGGGGCGCCCCATGAGCTCGATGATGGGCAGATCCACCTTCAGCGAGGCCAGTCGCCCTCTGGTGGAACGACCCGGGCCCAGACCCGGCGGGTGCAGGCCCCCCCGGACACTGAGGCCGCACCACCACGACGACGACGACGACGACGACGACGACGACGACGACGACGACGACGACGCGACGACGAAGCGAAGCCGCCGCCGCCGCCGCCGCGCGGTTCGCTCATCGGCTTGGCAGGGTGGGGCTCTACCAACCTTTGCATGGCACTCACATGGGCCGCCCAGCTTACGTTTAGAAACTGCCGCTTATAGGGCGCAAACTAGCCTACCTCGCTTTTGACCACCCTCGCTTCCAAGAGATACCAAGCGACGCCAAACTACGGCCTGCGCTGGTCAGGCCGCTTGACGAGGAAGCGCGTGGTATGACTTGGTTTTGCCTGGAAGCGAAAGCGGGGGAGGTAATTCACGCTCTGAGGCTTAGCGTGTCGCGGCGGCGGCGGCACCGGTCACACGCGATGTCTTGCGAGCAGATGTCGTGTCGCTCCGCTTCGTGGGGCGGGAAGCTGGAACCTTGAACAGGCTCAGAACGTGGACGCTTGGGCATTGGGACGTGGATTGAGTGTCGCGCCGAAGCGTGGTGGGCTAGAACCGACGGCGCGACACGCTATCCAAAGATCTCGTCCGTACGCGCCGACTGCGTCTTGATCGCCAACCGCGCCTTGATCCTCCTCCTCCTCCTCTTTCTCCTCCTCTCTCCTCCTCTCTTCTGACCCTAGTATTTGCCCGCGGCCCCGGGGGCGCCCCATGAGCGAAGCCAAGTCCCCGATCACGGCGGTGACACCGCCGATGAACACGAGCGCCTGCCGGCGGCTGCTGGTGCGCTCACCGGCAGAATGCTGCGATGGGAGGGGGGCCTCCCCGCGGGCGCGCTGCGGGCGCGCGCGCACGCGGGCGTCCGCGTGGGATGGAGGCTCGCCCTCATTGTTATTTTTCTTCTTCTCCTCCTCCTCCTCCTCCTCCTCCTCCTCCTCATCATCATCATCATCCTCCTCCTTCTAGCCGTAGCTTCGCCTCCCTTTTCGGGCCCTCGTCGGTTCCCTCGTCGCCTCTTGCGGCTCTTTTGCCTGTGAGCTAGCGCTTGACTCTAGCCCACTTCCAAATAAAGATCCTCATCCTCCTCCTCTTCCGCTTCGTCCTCCTGTTCGTCGTCGTCGTCCTCCTCCTTCTCCTTCTCCTCCTCTTGCTCCTCCTCCTCCTCCTCCTCCTCCTCCTCCTCCTCCTCCCCCAGCTCGAGGTGTCTGTGAGTGCACCTGAGGGCGGGGAGACACTATGCGGAATGTGCGGGCACTAGGCTGTCGAGCAGCCCATGTTTCTAGGCTGGTGGTCTGCCATTGCTGCCCTCACCCTCCAGGCAGAGCTCAGCAGACCGAGTCACTCGAGCTCCTTGACAGACCGACTGACCTCCTCGAGTTCACGAAATCATGACCGAGGGGAAAAGTCTTGACAGCTGAGCGTGCCCCTCAAGGTGGATGGACAGAAGAGGCATGGGGTCAAGCGAAATCCTCGAAACCTCGTGCTCTGGCGTGGGCCCTCCGCTTTCCTCGCGATCCGCCCCCCCCCCCCCCTGCTTCTCCCACATATGGTCTCCGTCGTCACTCTTATTTGCCCGCCTCCTCCACCTTCCTCCTCCTCCACCTTCCTCCTCCTCCTCCTCCTCTTCTTCCTCCTCCTCCTCCTCCTCGCACTCCGCCCACTCGTCGCGTTTCTCCTCCTTCGCCTCGTGCTCCTTCGCCACTGCCTCCTCTTCCTCCTCCTAATCACCATGCTCATGCTCATGCTCATGCTCATGCTCATGCTCATGCTCATGCTCATGCTCATGCTCATGCTCATGCTCATGCTCATCAGCATCAGCATCAGCATCAGCATCATCATCATCATCATCATCATCATCATCAGCAGCAGCAGCAGCATCATCAGCATCATCAGCATCAGCATCAGCATCATCATCATCATCATCATCATCATCAGCATCATCATCATTCTTACCACCACCATCATCATCATCCCTCACTTCAGGGGGCGAGAGCTCGCGAGGTTGAGCGTGCGGCGCTTGTGGTGGGGGGGGGGCGGGCGTTCGGGCCAAATCAATGCGGGCCCGGAGGGGGGGGGTCCTGCGCGCAACTCACCACCAACTCCTCATTCCTCTCCTCGCCTCGTCTCCTGCTACTGCTGCTCCTCCTGCTGAGCACAAACGGCGAACACAACGCGGACGTAACCCCTGTAGAACCAAGCACGAATACGTAAGTGTGTGTGTGTGTGTGACTGTGCGTGTGTGTGTGTGTGTGTGTGTGTGTGTTTGTGTGTGTGTGAGAGAGAATCTTGCCACTTTCCGTGTTGACAGCGACAAGATCTCGCCATCTTCCTTGCAACTCTTGCACAGCAGTGTGTCCATGCGCACGATGCCCTAACTATTCCAACCAGGAAACGACCCTGTCGGAATTGCTTGCCAAACATGTTATTGAAAGGCCGGGTGTGCGGCCCCGTTCACGCCCGCTGCGAGCCACGACGCAGTCGCAACAGAGACATGATATTTGTCCTTAGCAATCTTTCTGCTGCCACTGCATGAAGCTTTTGAGCTCGCCACAAGATCCAGCCGCCGGGGCCGCCGCCCCATTGCAGCACGCTCAAAACTAGCGGGGCGGAAACGCCCAACCGTCAGAATCACACCTGTGGAAAACAGAAGGGTGGAAAGGGGAAGACACTGGAACTTGAGCGACATCAAACGGCGGCGGCCCACAAGATAGCATCGGAAACCCGCGAAACCACTACAGCCTTCAGCAATATTTATGTTGTCAGCGCATAAGAGATATAGCTCGCAACGAGATCCACCCGTCGGGGCCGCCGCCTTGCAGCGACGCGCTCAAGACTCGCGACGCGGAGACGCTCTGCCGTCAAAATCGCCAGACATGCTCCCGATTTTGCTGAGCAATCTGGCAACGCCGACGTAAAAGGACAAACGCGAACCCAGCGCTCTTCGGGAGACTTCGGCCGGAACTCTTACTTCAACATTGCGAAAAAAAACGTGCCAATACCATGCGAACCTTGCGAGGATACTCGGCCCTCTGCTTGGTTATGAAACCACCCCGGGGAAGAACACCTTGGAGCTGCTGATGGGGCCGATGGGTCCTGCTGCATATGCCCCGTCTGGGGCCTATACACCGAAAGCCCCTTAACCGCCCAGGGTCCAGGTCGCCAAAGCTCAGACCGTGTCTTTCCCCCAGGCGACGTGGAAAACAACGGTTCTTCTCAAGGCCAAAGCTTTAAACGGGGGAGCAGCGGCAGCTGGGAAGTCTTAGGGTTCTCGACGCTCCAGGGGATTCGCAGAAACGGGCGCGCGCACGCAAGGGTTGCAATGAAATTATTCAAACTGTTGGGTGCTTCAACAATCGCTTGCCAATTGAGCTCGGGGTTAGGGAGGCCGAGAAGGTGGAGGTCAGGGCGAACAGGCGTAGCCCCGGCCCCATGGTCTCGGCAACGCGTAAGTGTGCTGTAAGGAACGCCAGCATGCCAACCTCCCACTCGCCCAGCCCAAGCCCACGACAAGATCAGAGCACGGTTGCACGGGCGTGACAGGTCGTGCCGTTCACCGAGAATGGTATCCCGCATTCGCACAGACATCCCAATGTCCGCACTTGCATTGGCAAATCCTCCTGGGCCAGAGAAAAGGTCCAGTATCACTGGCGGGCCGGGCAAACGGGGGGCGAAGGAGAGGGCGTGCCTTGGACTGGCTCAAAGACAGCGCGCAGGCCTCTGCGTGGCGGCGCTGCGCGGCGGGCAGCCTGTGCAGCTTATCTGTCAGCCGCCCGACCTTCTCGCACCGGCGCGCGGAGCTCCGCGACTTCCAGCGGCCCCGGCGGCGGATCTGCGCGACGTCTCGCGGGGCGGCGGTGCAGTCGCGGCTCGAGTGGCGAAGCTGGTAGACATGGCGCGCCCCGAGCTTCGCCAGCCCCAGGGCGCGCGCGGCCGGGCCCCAGGAATTGGCCACCTCCGTCTGGATCGCGGCGAAGAGCGGCGCCGCGGGAGGGGCCCCTCCGCGGCGCCGCAGCGGGCCAGCGCCCGGGCCCATCTGCCTCTCGAGGTCGGGGCGCACGGACGCGTCGAACTCCCCCGTCTTGGACGCTTCACCGGCCTCCTGGGCGCGCAGGGCCACCGACGCGAAGCGATGAGCACCCGAGGCCGCCGCCGCAGGCGGCGCGATGTCCTGCAGCCGAAGCCTGTGGATCTCGCTCGGGCGGCCGTAAATCTCGAAGGAGCCAGGTCGCGAAAGGTTCCGGGGCGCAGCGACGATGGGACAGATAGTTGATGACCGTCGCGACCACCTCGCCGGGCATGGCGACGCGGCTGCGCGGCGGCGCGAGGTCGAGCGGCCCCGTCCCGGCGTTGCGCGGGCCCCTCCGCGCGACCGCCGCTATCGCGCGGATGGCGCAGGTCTGATGGTAGCCCTGGTCGAACAGGTGGCCGGTGTAGTCGCGGGCCGCCGCGTCGAGGTCCGACGGAGCTGTCGCTGCCCGCCGTCGCTGCTGAGACCAACGATCGGAACCCTTGGGCACGTCGACACAAGCCTGGCGGCCAGCCCGTGTCCGCGCCGGCGCCGCGCTGGGCACCGGCACCCCCGCCGGCGCGTCGATCTGACGTGCTCGCTGCTAGGGGGTCGCCTTCGAGCTCGAGGCCTGGCGGCGGAAGAGGCGGCAATCAGGAGTTAAAAAAGGTTTACTCTGGAGTTAACCCTCCGTTGGGTGAGCGTCGATGTATTCACCCCGAACGGGTATTAACTCCAAATTAAACCCTTCTCGTGGACGCCGAGCGTCGCAGGGGTCCACCCTGAAGAGGGCTAGCTCCAAATTAAGCCCCTCTGGCGGACGCCGAGCGTCGCAGGGGTCCATCCCGAGGAAGGTTAACTCCAGATTGAACCCTTGTCGTGGACACTCCCTGAGAGGCCGAGGCGGAGACGGTGGAGAGCGAGAGAGAGAGAGAGATAACAAAAAAAAGGAGAGAGAGAGAGAGAGAAACAAACAAAAAAAAACGAAACAGAGAGATAAGGACCTGGCGGGCGCGGTACCAAATTCGCACCGAAATGCCCGCGGCGAAACGGAGGCAGCGGTGGCACTTGGGGCATCTTTGGCGCCCTTGGGACCGTCTAGGAGTAGATTGATTGAGCGGGTCATGCATGTGGCTGCAGGGACGCAAGCGATATCATGAACATGGTGAAAGAACACCTCAGGGCGAAGGCCCCCAGGCGTTCCCCCATGAACCTTGCCCCAACTCTGGCATTTGGGATGCCGTTCGCGTCATATCCGCTGCCTCTAGGACTGTCTTGGGAACAACTTGGGCCGTATTGGCGACTTGTGGGGGGTCTCTTGGGCCGTGTTGGGGCGATCGTAGGGGCCCCCGAGGCTGCCAACCACGGTGCGAAGACGAAACATACGAATGCCGTTAACACGCACGTTGTACGAAGGGAGCGGGGCCGTTCTTGCTTTTCGGGGCCGCCTGGTGGGTAAACTTGCACGGGTTATGAGGCGTCTTGGAGGCATCGCGCTGGCTGCTTAGAGGCCTCTCTGGGGTCTCGGGGGTCCTCTTGGGGCGCGGGACTGGCAATTCCAATTGGATTGCCCCATCCTGGGCTCCTGTAGGAGCCCTCTGGGAGACCGTTGGGGCCGTCTTGGGTGCCTCTGGGACCGGCCTGGGGCCCACTTGGGCTCTTGGGCCCTGTAGGGTCAATCTCAGGGGCCCCTGAGGTCGTCAAGGATGGTGCGGACACGAAAAACATGGATACGGTAATTATGTGCGTTTTACAACGGGA